TGTGTATGTGTGTGTGTGTGTATGTGTGTGTGTGTGTGTGTGTGTATGTGTGTGTGTGTGTGTGTGTGTGTGTACGTTCTTTTTCAGTCTCTTGTTTTTCCCTGCTGATTGTATGTCACAAAAAGGATAACCTCATCCCCCTCCCCCACACACACACAACATCCCCAACCCTCAGGCGTTTCCCTGACACCATACATTGTAATTTGTGAGGCATCGTAGGGAAATCAGGCGCTCGTCAAAATAATGAAATCGAAGACAGCGGCATTTTTCTACCCGTTTCACCTTTTTTTCTTTTCTTTTTTTTTTTGGGGGGGGGGGGGGATTAGCTCAACACCTTTTATGTCCATTTAAAATATATTTTCATGTAGGTTTTACTGACAAACGTTGATTAAACGCTCAACAAATGTAAATTTTGAATTTCCAAGGATTCTCAAGCTTTGAAAATCAACAGCCTTTGTTGGCCATTTTCTCGCTAATTTTACAACCAAAAAACAAAGCGTCCCCAAATTCTTTCAATCTTAAATATCTCAACTAGTATTCAAGATAGCTGTGTAATGTTTTAATAGAAACATCGTCAAATGAACAAACTTTACGACAACACCAATAAGTACAGATGCTCACAAATTGACGAGCGCCTGATTCCACCGTGTTGTAACTGATTTGGTTTTATAATTGTACAGTATTCTGCCGAGCGTCATGACTTGTTTCTGTACACAATGTATGTATTTGGTTAAGAATCACAGCCGTGGGAAATCGATATTCGTTGGGAAACACCGGGAATCGTTTCATCAACTGTCCATACACAATGTTTAAGTGTCATTCTGCCTTACAAACATGCCATTCATGTAGTCTACCTTTGGTTTCTGTTACTGTTTCAACTTTGTTGTTTGATGCTTTGTTATTGATTGATTCAATATTCTAGATTTCTTTTTAGTTTAGTTTTAGGAAGAGTTTTACGGCACTTGCTACACACCACGGTCACAATAAGATCATATACGTGCCGAAGATTAGAGGTGTTACACGAGAGTAACAAATATTAAAAAGAAGGAGAGATGAAGACGATTGATGTTTGATAGGAAAGAAGGAGCAAACCACACCATAGCACCCGCCAACCACCCACGTAGATTTCTGTATAATAACGTTGGTGTTTTCAACCCCTTTATACACAGTTTAGATCATTTAGGGGGCGGGCTGCGGCACTGCCTGTCTGGGCTACCCCAGGCTGAGAGGGATACAACGTCACAGCAGACAGACGGAGATACTCGATGAAAATGGTTTCCAATGGCAAACATGATATACATACATAAATACATAATTATAAACCCGTACATACATAAATACATAATTATAAACCCGTACATACATAAATACATACATAAATACACAATATTACACAAATACAGAACAGTTGTCGGTTGCCACTGTGCAGCGCCCAGTATTGTGAGCTTGGGTTGTCGTGTCTTGCTCA